TTTAAGCTTTTTCTCTTTAGCTGACAACAGTTTAGTAAATGACTGCCTTTATAAGCAGAATTGAAACTTTATCTTTCTCTCTACCTGATCCCTCCAGAATTTAAAAACTCTCAGTGACTCTTTTTATATTTCATGGCAGTATGTTTATTTGCATAAGTTCAATAAGAACCTGCTTTCCTTGTACTAGGACCAATTAAAAACACTGGTTATACTACCAAGGCTTTGACTGGAATGTCATACCTGAGAGACATGTGTGTAAGCTCATATATGAACAGCTTTAAGGAACTAAGGTTGACTTTATAGAGCCAACAAAGCCCCTTGGAAGAACTGGCCTGGTACTTTGCTTACAGGATTCCCAGCAGCCTTACCAGGTGAGTAAAGAAGGTCCTAGCAGGTGCAGGAACCTCACGATGTCTTAACCTCGAGAAGAGAAGAATTCACCCAAATCTACAAGTACCACAAGCAAAACCTGAGGGCAAGTCTTACTTGGCTTTCTCACCTAGAGAGGCCTTTAAAAATTCAATCTGAAATTCTTTACAAAAAGTTCCAGCAAAACATATTTAAAAGAGCCTATGTAATCAATTGCTCTTCTTGCTGCACTTACACAAATAATCAAACCAACTGTTGATTATTTTCTTAATCTGGCTACTTTTAATAAGAATAAGGGTGATTTTGGAGAAAGGTATTGTTTAAATAATGCAGTCTTATCTATGCTGAGTCCGTCCTAATGCTGGTCATTGAGATGTGAACTCGATCCAGAATTCCAGTCCCCCATAATAGCTTGGCTAATGCCCTTACTAGGCCCCTTAATAACAGTTTGTGGTTTACTCTTAGTTGCCCCTGTGTCCTCAGGTTCCTCCAACAGCAGCTAACCTAGATGACCCGGGTTGCCACCAACCAGATGTTACTTCAGTGTTATGCACCTCTTTCCACTGAACCCCCTCCTTCGGCCTAATACCAGCCTCAAATACCAACCCATGACGCCCCTTGTCAGCCAGAAGTAGCCAGATTGAGTCATCGCCCATTATGATCAAAAGGTTGGAATGTTAGGTTGGAGAAAGGAAAAACAAGGACATGCAAACAGAACAGAGAGATGCCATAGGGGGAGAACAGACCAGACCTCAAAGTCCGTGCCATATATGGAAAGGGGGCAGCTCTCCCTGAATTCCATCCTGATGTGCCAACTAAGACCCGGATGTCAGCCTCCTCACTCTTGGAAGGAAAAAAAGTTTCTAGTTGTCTATTAAGTCACCTTTAGCCAATCATACCTCTCCACACCCCCTAGGATAGCTTGCCCACCCCTCCCCCTCCTAATCCCTTATAAGCCCCCACACCTCCCTAACCAGGTGTGACTTCTCTGGCCTGTGACAAGAAGGCCACAGAACGTCACCTGGGGGTATTTAAATAAATTACTTGGCCCTTTGTCGCCTCTCTTTGCCTGCTTATTTTGGCTAGAATTTATCTTACACATACAAATAGAAAATAGCCTTTTAAAATCTCTTCACAATGGCGGCAAGACAAATTCGAGACCCACAGCAGTGTGGTAAAAAGTACACTCTGCTGGGAACACAAACATGCAAACCATTCACTCACCTTACTAAACACAGAGGAGCCCGATATTAAATTTACCTAAAAATGACACTTCGTTACATTTTTCTGAGACTATCAAATAAATGATTTAGGTGTTACGAGGCTTTTAGGAATATCAGAGCTTACGAGGAACAATTTGATGAAAATCCTCTCATTTCTCCTGGAGCATAGCTCCTGGACTGTGTGTTCATGTCCACTGACAGGATCACTCTCTGCAGATTTTAGATAATTCCTCCACACTTCTCAAGTTGTGACACTCCAACATCATTAAACTCATTTCATGACAACCCTGTGATTCTTTTCTGCTGGTTCTTCTTCAAGTGTTTGAATGACATTTGTTTATTAAATGAGTTAAAATTAATTGTGTTTTGATAATCTGGAGATGCCCTTTGGGAAAAAGGACATATTGTGGGAGATAACAGGTTCTGTCACTTAAGGAGAGACACATCTATCATTTCTTAGGCATATTGTTCAGGGCTTCAATTTTTTTTAAGTCATATTTAAAAAATCTCAATTTACTCATGTTTTATATTACTGTATGTCACATGTAGTAAGTATTATTTTCTGTTCAACAGTATTGACTCAAATTACTTCTCCAAGAAATAGCACTAGTTGGGGATGCAATGAATACTCCTTTAACATGTACTCGTAACAGTCTCTCTTTGATGTTAGGGGGAATTTGGGATCTTTTTTTATCCTTTCTGAATGACATACCCAACAGGACCAAGGTCTACCTCAGGCATCATGAAACTGAAGAGAAATAGGCCAGACTAATTCCTGACAATCTTTTTGGTGATTGTTACTCTGGAAAAGAGTCATCTATATATTAGTGCATCTTGGGTCCATAATACTAACTGCATGACTTTTGACAACTAGGGTCTTAGCATCTTCATTATTAAAGTAAAGAGTGCTGTCATCCTGTGTGACTTTTACAGAAACATAGAAATGCTCAAAAACATTATTCTTCAATTGTGTCTTTGATATCGGCCTGTTTCCATGCTCCAGAATGATTAATTCTTCTGTTTTGATGCCATGAGCAGAAATCTCATTAAACTGAAGGCACATAATTTCTTTCTTTACAATTTCTTTTGGCATTATGTTAGCACTTTAATAATAGTGAACATTTTTGGGTAGTTCTGTGTGTCCAGCACTGTCATATATATTTTTACATAGATGATCTAATTTGATCATCAAATAGTCCTTGGGAACATGTGTCAGTGTCTCCATATTACATGTGAAGATATGAGTCCCAGAAAGGTTATGTAACTTGTTCAGGGCCATACAGTGACTGAGTGGTGAACATGTTTCAAATGAGACCCATTAGAAGGTCCTGGGAGAAGCCAGCTCTGGGTCTCCATGGCTCCTTGACCTTTCAGCATAACCTGTATTAAACAACTGTGGTCACTCTGCTTCCAGGTGACGCCAGGTGGAAATCATTCTCCACATACAGAAGCAAATGTTTTGCTATATTCTGCTCCTAAAGGGAAAGGCTAAAGTAATCATTAAGCATGCCTGACTTTGAAAACATTTTTTCCCCTCTCAAGGAAGCCTTCTTCTTACAAACTAGGTTCTAGTGTCCTTGGGGTTGCATCACTGTTGGGCTGGCTGATTATCAGGAGTGTACACCTTGCTCAGTCCAGTGATTGATAACCTGACTTTCTGGCCCTGGAACACTGTGTGCCATTGACAGAATTTTATTTTTTAGGTAGAGTGCAGGCTGCTTCCAAATACACCCTAACTCCTGCATGTATAAATGAAAAGAAAGAAGAAAAACATGGAATCTGTTGAAAGACCTGCCCATCATCAACATCAATCACACTTAACAATTTCCACATGCAGATAAGAAATTAGACATCAGAGCATAAACTCTAGTCATCAGGGCCCTGGTTAGTGTTCTGTGTTCTTTGTTATCTGATCACATGCATTTATTGCATGATTGTAATGTGCCAGGCATGGCGCTAGATGCCTGGGAAATAAAAATGCCTCAATTCAGGGATTCCTGCCCAGAGAAAAAGAGGATTATAGATGGATGTGAGCAGCTCCCAGAACAAGGGCAGATGCAGAGGGCTTGGAGGTGAGGAGGAGGAACACTTGAACTAAGCAGCTCCACCCCGGCTGTGCTTATTTACAGCAGCTTCATGAGGATTTTATCCCGACAGTTTTTCTTGCTATTTAATTGGTTGTTGTCCTTTACCTGGTTCTTCTTGACTCTCTTCATTCTCTAATTCTTTAGCTGCAAAGATGTCTTTTATGGAAATTAGGTCGTTTTTTATGAGTTCCAGCTTCTCTCCATTAAGTGATGCTAAAAATGACTGAACCTGAAAAAAGAAATAGGCCACCGTAACTGTCAGCTTTTCTTCTCCTCGGTAATGTTTACATGACGCTCTCCCCTGTTCTGCCAGGAATGTGGGCCGCAGTGTGGGAAGTAATGCTAGGCTTAAGGTTGGACTTACTGCCTGTTGACTGTGCAACTTTGGGTAAGTCACATAAGCTTCCGGGGCCTCAGCATTTACATTTTTAAAGTGAGATCCACACTTCATTGTGATCCTTTGTGGAGTAACAGGAATAATAAAAATGTGAAGGATATTGCACGAGTGCACAGACCAGATGCTAAATAAATGGTAGTGGTAGCTCTCCTATGACAGTGGTTAAAACCACACTTGGTGTCAACTCTGGATTCACATATGAGCTCCTCACTTTCTAATCATGTGGACTTGGGTAATTTATTTAACCTCTCTATGCCTCAGCTTCCTTATCTGTAAAATAGGGACTAAGAGCATCTACCTTATAAGGCTGTTTTGAAGTTTAAATGAAATAATGTACTTAAAAGTATTTAGAGCAATGGTCAAAAAATTATATATATAATAATATATATTAATATATAAACATTAATGTATTATACTGTAATATGATATACTAATATATGTATGACTTACATTAGATATATAAAATATATGTATTATTTAAATTTAATGTGTTATATATATATGTATTATAAGTTAATAAATGTATTATGCATACTGATATACATATGTATACACTTGCTAGATGTGGGTTATGGTACTGGGTTTATGCATTTGTACAAAAAAATGCACAAGACACATCTTTCTTCTCAGAGATCTTGCAGTCTGAGACTTGCAGAGGACGAAGGCCCATGTTAACAGATTACAGCTATGGCAGAAGTGAGTGGAGTGACACAGTGGGGGCACCAGGGAGGAAGCAGTAATGGCCCTTGGGGAGGCAAGAGGGTGGTAGGGAAACTTCCCAGAAGATGATGCTTGAACTGACATCCTCCCCCTTTTTGTCTTCAGAGCCCTGCTTTTGGAACTGCCTTTGTAAACACTTATAAATTATTTGTGCAGATGGCAGTCATCCTCTGTGACTATGAAGACTGATTTGAATTTCCAAAATGGCCAGACTGCATGGAGAATCATTTAAAAAGTAAAGCATGATTATGAAGTAGTAAGGTTTGTATTTTTTCATACTGCTGGTCAAACACTTCCTCTGGAGGGACAGCCAGAAAAGGAGCCACGATGGTCTTTTAATATTTATTATAGTAGTAGAATCACACATAAGGATAAGTGAGAGTATTAGAGAGGGCATTTGGGATGCCAGGACTCCATTTCCTAAAAATTGCTAATGCCTATCACCAGGGCATAATGCAATCTGCACCTAGGCTCTGGAAGGAAGTTTGGCAGGAAGTTATCAACACAAACCCCATTAGCCATAGAGTTCAGCAGGTGTGAACAAATGCTGACACCTCTCCATGATGGTGCATGGAGCACGTGTGAGCAAACTCTCCACGATGGCCACTGCCCATGCTTTTTGCTCTGACCTTTTCAGAGTCATTTCAGCTCCTACACTCATGTTTAGATCACAAGGTTCCAGATGTGTCCACATCATATTCTATGCTTCAGAGATATTTTTTAAACAGCAGTTTTCTAAGAGTTAAGAAAGGAGGTAATTCTAAAGAATCCACTCCAAAACTACTAGATCTAATATCTGAATTCAGCAAAGTTGCGGGATATAAAATTAATACACAGAAATCTGTTGCATTCCTATACACTAACAATGAACTAGCAGAAGAAAAATCAGGAAAATGATTCCATTCACAATTGCATCAAAAAGAATAAAATACCTAGGAATAAACCTAACCAAGGAAGTGAAAGACCTATACCCTGAAAACTACAAGACACTCATGAGAGAAATTACAGATACAAATAAATGGAAACACATCCTGTGCTCATGGATAGGAAGAATTAATATTGTCAAAATGGCCATCCTGCCTAAAGCAATCTAAAGATTCAATGCAATCCCTATCAAAATACCAGCAGCATTCTTCAACAAAGTAGAGTAAATAGTTCTAAAATTCATATGGAACCACAAAAGACCCTGAATAGCCAAAGCAATCCTGGGAAGAAAGAATAAAGCGGGGGGATTATGCTCCCTGACTTCAAGCTCTACTACAAAGCCACAGTAGTCAAGACAATTTGGTACTGGCACAAGAACAGACCCATAGGCCAATGGAACAGAATAGAGAGCCCAGATATAAATCTATGCATATATGATCAATTAATATACGATAAAAGAGCCATGGACATACAATGGGGAAATGACAGCCTCTT